TTTGAGATGGAGTTTCAGTCATGTTGCCCAGGCTGGAGTGCAATGGCACTATCTTGGCTCACCACAACCTCTGCCTCCCAGGTTCAAGTGATTCTCCTGCCTCAGCTTCCTAAGTAGCTGAGACTACAGGCATGCACCACCACACCCGACTAATTTTTTTGTATTTTTAGTGGAGACAGAGTTTCTCCATGTTGGTCAGACTGGTCTCAAACTCCCTACCTCAGGTGATCCAACCACCTCGGCCTCCCAAAATACTCAGATTACAGGCGTGAGCCACCACACCCAGCAGCTGTCTCATTTTAATGTCTCCCTAGGGGCCTGATAATTTAAAAAGATTCACATTCTTCAGATAAAAGTTCTTATTTCTCCCCTTTTGATTAAAAACGTTTCATCTTGAAAGTGTTAAGTGTGTTCGTCGTCACTGGAAAAGCTCATTTCTGAGTAGTCCTCAAAGTCATTTATCTCTATCTGATGTCACTTGTTGAATCATCTCTAGTCTTTGGCATCCTATGAATTCAGTTTTCTCAGAGGTAAAGCAGACATAATAGAAACATAACAAACATAAGGATTATAGTTAAAAAGAAAATTTGTATGCCAGAATGAAAAGAAAAAACTGATTGGAGAGTCAATTAAAAGCATCATGAAGAAAATTAAAACCGAATCTTTTAGAGACTTGTAAGCCGGAAATAGTTTAAGCCTTATTCCAAATTATAGGAAAAAAATCAAAAACATTGTTCAAGGATAGAATCTAATAACAGATACATATGTTGTTTTCTTCTCATGCATAATTTTTTTTCTTTCTCTACTTCTCCATTTTTACAGAAAATAAATCTCAGCAAGACCAATTTATTTGCAAATTTTTTAAAATTATAATTTCAACTTTTAGATTAAGAAGGCACATGTGCAGATTTGTTACATGAGTATGTTTCATGACACTGAAGCTTGGGGTACGATTGATTCCATCACCCAAGTTATGAGTATAGTACCCAATAGTTTTTCAACTCCTTCCTTGCTCCTTTCTTCCTCCCTCTGGTGTCATGAGTACCCAATGTTTAGCTCCCATTTATAAGTGAGAATGTGTAGTATTTGATTTTCTGTTCCTTCAATAATTGGCTTAGGATAATGGCCTCCAGCTGTATCCACATTGCTGCAAAGGATGTAATTCCATTCGTTTTTATGGCTGTATAGTATTCCATGGTGTATATGTACCACATTTTCTTTATCCAGTCCACCATTGATCAGCACATAGGTTGATTCTATGTCTTTGCTATTGTAAATGATG